GCGAAGACTATTTCTTCGCCCGGCGAAACATCACAGAACTACACCATGGGTTGCAGTACCTCATCGCCGCGGCAAAGATTTTTTTCGCCTGGCGAAGACTATAACCCCAAAATTTCACACAAGTTTACAATTTGGGCAACCACTACACAAACCAATACATCCATTCAACAAGGGCCAACCAAACCAATTAACAAATTCCAATTCAAAAAAGTAAAATACGAAAAATTAGCTACGTACCTCGAATGGGGGTTACAGGTGGATGTACTGTTGATTAGAGTAATTGTTTTGATGTTGAATATTTTTGATGTCTCGTAAAGTTGGTGGTTTTTTATCATCATCTATTCTATTAATTTTTTTAAATGGTGATGCTATTATTTCTGCTTGTTGATGTTCTATTTTAATTTCTTCTAAAGGTGGATGGACAGATGTAATAGTTTTATTTGTTGTCGTTTGCCAATTTTTTGTCGCATTAGTGGTTACAAAAATAGTTTTCTTTTCACTTAAATCTTGATAACATTTTCTATTTTCTAACCAATTAAAGAAATAAATATTTTGTTTTAATTTTTCTTGTGTATTGTACCATTCAGATCTAAGGGTATTTTGTTCTTCGAGATTAAATTTTGTAAAGAATATTTATCTTTTTTCTTTATTATAATTTTGTAGGAATTCTTGTTTTAATAATTCTTTGTTAATTTCAAAGGGTTTTGTTATTGTGTTTATTTGACTATAAGTTCCTAATACTTCTGATTGTGTTGGTGAACTAGGTGGACTTGATGTGTTTTCATACGCTGGTTTTGGTACAGGAGGGGAATAATTTACTCCTACTAATTTACTTATTGAAGTTGTTGACGGAGGGCTAGGTGTAGTAATTTCTTCAATCCTAGGGTTTTGATTATTTTTGTTAGTGACTATGGGTTGATTTTGGTCTAAGGGTGTTTCTCTAAATTTTAATCTTATTGTGCCATCTGGTTCTTGTATTATTTGTTGTTAGAAGTGCATGTGAATGAGGATTGTACCCAGCAGAGCATATCTACATGCATGCCGCCTGTAGTGAGAGGCCTCAGAATAAGAAAGAAGAATTTGTATAGTCTGTTAGAAGTGCATGTAGATGAGGATTGTACCCACTCATGACCAAGGTTCCGAATCCATGCCTCAACCAAGTCCGATCGGCAAAGAAAGAATATAATAGAATAGAAAGAAAATAATAGAAAAGAAAGAAAGAATAGAAAAGCAAGAAAAACAGAAAAGAAAGAAGAGAAACAGAAAAGAAAGAATAGAAACATAAAAGAAAGAAGAGAAACATAAAAGAAAGAAACGCAGAAAAAGAAAGAAAGCAGAAAAGAAAATACATTATATAGAAAAAGTTTATGCAATTGGGCATATGCATCATGCCATTTCTACTATCCCGAGTTAGTTTCCCTATTTGTGCTTACATATCGGTAAGTGAGAAACTAAAATCTTAGAAAGGGCAGAGAAGAATTGAGAAGTTTGGTGTAAGGAAAGAAAATCCAAGATCTGAGTAACGGAGAAAGAATAGAAGTATTGTGGGTTTTGCTTATTGAGCAATTAGTGCTCACTTTGTTGATTTCACTATTTTTACAGGGAATAGATGAGATGGGGTCGAGAGGAATGTCAAGTAGCAGTGGAGAATGGCACCACTGTCTGAGATTACTTTGTACTTATTTTTGTGACTTTATTACTTGATGTAGAGATTTGTATATAAAGTCAAATTTATTTTGGGCCCACTATTACGTTCTTATATACATATATATTTTCTATAACATGTTAGTGAGTTTTACTTATATTTTTCCAAAGCACTATTAGCCAGAAAGAATATTACATTTAAGCTCCAACTCTCGCATTATCAAGCCCATCGTCTACTTCGACTCCCCTGCATTGCTAGACCTCCCTCTTACCCGCAGGAGTACCCCTCGCATTTCCATCAAGGTTGTTAGGGGCTTGCTCCATAAGATCCTATCTTCAATTCAGTTGTAAATTTTAGTGTTTACAAAAGTAAAGTGTTTTTTTTTTTTTTTTTTGTTGGTGTTGGGGGGTGGGGGGGCCGGGGGGGGGTGGTATAATGCATTTAAATTATTTTGTATTCAAACTTAGAAATTGGGCCAAGTTAGGTAACTTGTCAGATAAAAGGCTGTTATTTAGTTGGGCCCCCAATAATTGACTAATTCAAAAAACAACAAAATAAAATCAGTAAGATTTTTTATTATTTACAAATTAACCATAAACAACATCAACATTAACGGTGCGTTTGGTTCCCTATTTCTATCTATATTCCCAATCCTATCCCCCAAATATTGTTTGGCACATTATTTGAGAAATATTATTGTATTTTTTAATTATTTTTAGACCCTTTAAGTTTATTAATTTCATTAAATACCCCTAGAAAAAAAGTTTAAAAATTAATAAAAACACCCCCACCGACCCATACTTGCCAGATTCCAGTAACCACCATCGATGGTAGCTGGAATCTGCCACAACGGTGAATTACCGACCAGAACTGACTGGTAATTCACCGATTTGGTCTTTTTCGACGAGATCCACAGTGGATCTGGTCGGAAAAAGCCAAACTAGCCGCCAGTGATGGCCAAAGAAATGGCCATCGTTGACCAACAACAACGACCATATCTTTGGCCATCATATGCGAGCCGGCTCGGCTCAACTTGTTAAATACTCAACTCGGCTCGATTATAATCGAGCCGAGCCGGCTCGAATTTGACTTGAGTAAGTTACCGAGCCGAGTTCGAGTCTACCTCGACTCAGCTCGATTTGACTCGCAAGCCAATAGTGGCTCGTTTAGGATTTTTCTGCGCATAAATAAAAGTTTTTGGTTTTTTTTTGTAATTTCACATGTAAAAGATTAAAAGGTTTAAAAAATCACAAATAAACCCTTAACCAAATGACCCCAATTAACCCAAAATCAAATCATGTAAATTCATTCTCACCAAATCAAGAACCCTAAAACAAGAAACCCAAAACATAATTTCCTGATTATCACACCAAGGCACCCACAAACACGAGAACTACCAAATCACTGATAACCACCACTTCTTGTTGCCTTGTTCATCACCGACGACACTGATTTTTGCGAAGAATTTGTGAGGAGTTATGTATCTTGACAGCAACAGGTTCGTTCCTTCATTTGTAGTTGGGTTTCTTTTTTGGATTATTATAGTTCTGTTTGGTTATTTGTAGTTGGGTTAGTGCAGAGATGTTTAGAAAATTGTTTTGATTTGGTTTAAGGAATGGACAACAACTGTAAAATTATTTTTGGTGTGATCCACAGCTGAATAATGAATGATGGTTATAGCTGTAGATCTTGTTCAGCTGTTGCCTTTGGCTTTCCCTTTTCATCATTTGGAGACCCCTTCAACTCTTTCTGCCTGCTTTTACATGTTTGTTTTTTTTATCTCAATACTTTACCCTTGCCCGCTTTTTAGTACCAAAAGTATAGGTTCTTTTGGCAAGTATCCCTGAATGGAAAAGGATCAGTTCAATGTCTCACTTTTTTGTTTTACTGGGTTTTGTGCATGGTGGTATGTTACTATGGTCGTATCTGTAAATACTTATGTAACAAATAGTTTCCTTTTCAATAGTGGTTTGCATGTTGTAGTTCCAGCGTCTAGGTGCAGGAAGATTCAGTAGAGAACCTCTTCAATAGCAGTACAACTTTGTTGCTTGTTTTTGTACATACAGTGGCTTCTTCAGTAAATTATGGTCTGCCTTTGTTTTCCAGCATGTTGTGCTTTTTACCTTGTTGATGACACACACTTGTAAGAGTTCACGCATTTCACATTTGTGCGAGTAAAACTAGAGGAGATTCTTGACATGTGGGTTATGCACATAGAGAAACATTTCTTTTAGTCTCATGTTTATTTTCGAGGTGGACTATTACCTTCCTACAAATAAGTGAAAATTAGATTGGAAGAGATTTAGGCAGCCATCTTTCTGTGAGAAATAATTACTCTTAAAATTTTCTCTAGTAAGAAATTATTTCTTCTCTTTCCTACAGCAACAAAGTTGTGGCAAAATCTCTTTAAAGCTACTTTTAATTTAATCATAGCATGTGAGACATATTGGTTGGATTATTAATTAACTAAATTGAAGCATGCTGATGGCTGAGAGACCGCAATAGATAACAGGTTCATCCACTGTGAATTATAAATGTGCACATTTATGTTTTCTGAATAAATATTATATGACATATGTTTCGTTGTTTCTTGCTGAATGTAACACCATTTTTGCGGTTCAATAATGCATTTGAGTTGATTCTTATTGGAAATTTATGGTTTTTTGTATGAGCCTTGTGCATTTATCATCCTGCATTCCTGCTGTGTCTACGGTTAGCTGCCCCTTTTTGTGTTGGCTGAGTTTTTTGTTGCCCCTGTTTGTGTTGGCTGGGTTTTTTGCTGCCCCTACTTTTGCTGTTTGTGTTGGCTAGGCTGATTTGTTGTTGCCCCTGTTTTTGCTGTTGATTTTTTCTTATTTGTTGCTGCCCCTGTTTTTGCTGCCATTTAGTTGCTTGTGCTAATGCTTTTTATTCAGTCACCCCTGCTTGTTTTTGTGGTTAATAAATTGTGTTAGGCAGGACCATTTACAAGTTTTATTTGTTTTTTACAGGTATGGCATCCAACAGCCACCCGACATTGGATGAAACAATGAATATGCAACCAAATGTTTCTTGCTCGCCGAATGAGGATGCAAATGTTAATCTCTTTCAAAGGAGAAAGAGAACCAAGACATCTACAGTATGGGCTGAATACAAATAGGTGGTCCTTCCTAGTGGTGAGAAGAAAGTAGAGTGTATCCATTGTAAATACAAGCTTTAAATTCATGCATCCGGAAGCACTACACCTTTTGGAAGACATTTACAAAGGTGTGTGAAGCGAGCCGCTTCACGTAGACAACAACATATTAAGTTTCCCCCTACTGATTCTAGTGGGGGAACATCTATCCTTCCTGCTCTTACCGATAAGTTCGACATGATGGTGATGAGGGAATTGATTGCACAATGGGTGCTTATGCATGAGCACCCATTTACCATTGTGGAAGAGGAGCGTTTGAACAATATGTTGAAATATGGGATTCCAGGATGGTCAAGGGTTTCACGCAATACATGTAAAAATGATTATGCGAAGGTGTATGAAATGGAGAAACAAAAGTTGAAGACATTGCTAAAAGGTGTAAGGAGGATTAGTTTGACCATAGATTTGTGGAATTCTGACAACCAAAAGTTGGAGTATATGGTTTTGACAGGGCATTGGATAGATGATAATTGGAAGTTGAACAAATGGGTTTTTAACTTTTTTCGTTTACCTACTCCAAAAGGTGGTGTGCAGATTGCTGATGCAATTTACAAATATTTGGCAGAATGGGAGATTGAAGACAAGGTCCAAACGATATCAGTGGACAATGCTAGTAGTAATGATGTGGCAATTAGGGCATTGAAGCAAAATTTTACAATAACAAGGTAGTTGAGTTGTGGGGGTAAAATGTTTCATGTCAGATGTTGTGCACACATCTTAAACTTGATGGTGCAAGATGGTCTTTCATAGATTAGGAGAATCATCGACAAGATCCATGAGAGTGTGGTATACATTAATGGTTCAGAGGGTAGGCTGAAGGTTTTTGCAGAGATTGTGCAACAATTGCGTTTGCCGTGTCGAAAACTTATCCTTGATTGTAAAACAAGGTGGAATTCAACTTATGACATGTTGGAAATTGCAATTAAGTTTAAAGAAGTATTTCCAAGATACAAAGAAAGGGATAAGGGTTACAAACATTGTCCAGATAAAGAAGATTGGGTGAAAGTAGAGAAAGTCTGTGAGATTCTAAGGGTTTTTAGTACAATGACCAATATCATCTCAGGGAGTAATTATCCAACATCAAATGTACTTCTAAGGCAAGTATGTAGGATCAAAATTTTGTTGGATTAAAAAAGTGAAAGTGAAGATGAATTTATTAGATAGATGGTGAGAAAAATGAAAGAGAAGTGTGATAAGTACTAGGGGCAATGTAATTTGTTGATGGCTGTTGCAGCTATATTGGACCCTAGGTACAAAATTAGGGTGATTGAGTTTTCTTTCCCTAAGATGTATTCTGACGTTGAGGCACGGGCAAATGCTACAACTGTTTGGGATACTTTGTATGAGGTATATGGGGAATATGCTAATGATTGTTAGTCATCTAGTGTAGTCCGCAGAGGTACAATTGAAAGGGTTGGACTTGAAGTAATTCCCGAGGGGTCTATGGGATAAGCTGATGATTGGGAATTTGATGATTTTCTAGATGAGTTTGAAACTATTGAACCAAATAAATCTCAGTTGGATATTTACCTAAGCAAGACATGTTATAAGTGTCAAGGTGATTCGGAAAATTTTGATGCTTTGGATTGGTGGAAGGCGAATGCTTTAAAGTACCCTATCTTGTCTAGGATGGCTCGTGATATACTAGTTATTCCCATCACTACGGTGGCTTCAGAGGCTACTTTCAGTGTCGGTAGTAGAGTTATTGACACATATCGATCTTCGTTGTCTCCCGAAACAGTGGAAATGTTGCTATGTGGAGCTGATTGGTGTCGCATTTTAAATGGAGTGAAAAAAGGAATCACGGTACATTTTTAATAATATATTTATTATTTTATTCTACAATTACTCTTATTTCATTCGAACATTGATATTACCTTTTTTTTTGTTTTAAATTTCAGATACAGAAGGAACCAGTGGAGATTCAACTTCCGGAAGTTTGAGTTCTATGCTGTTTTGATGATAATTTCGATGTATTTTGATGGACATTTGTGGTTTTTTTTTCTTTTTTTTGTCTTGGATTATATAATTTGTTGTGTAATACATTGTTTATGTTGATTTGGATGTGATTTTTGTTGATTTAGATGCAAATTTATTAAAAATTGGATCTGATTTGTGTAAAACAAGATGATAGGTTATATTAAAAAAGGGCCAGACGAGCCGTAATCGAGTCATAATCGAGCCAATTCGAGCTCGTGTTAAACGAGCCGAGTCACGAGCCGGCTCGTTTATAAATGAGCTGAGTCATGAGCTGAATTTTCCTGACTCGGCCGACTCGAACTCGTCTAATGTTTAACCGAGCTAGACTCGTTTAGGGTGATACTCGGTTCGACTCGGCTCGTTTACACCCCTACATATGGCCATCGCTGATGGCCAAAGATGGACTTCTTTGGCCTTTTTCAGTCGTCGAAGGCCACATCTGGCCATATATCTGGCCTTTTTTAGCCAGATCCGTGGTGGATTTGGCCGGAAAATGCCATATCAATGCCATACCCACCAGATCCGACCAATATGTGTCGTTACGCAACTTTCCAGCCAAATTTCAGTGGTGATGGCCGAAATCTGGCACTGCGGGTGGTGGGGGTGTTTTTGTCATTTTACAATATTTTTATATATTGGGGTGTTTATTAAATTAGCAAACCTAGGGGGTTTTTTTTATAAATTTTTAAATTTTACCTTGTAATACTCCCCTATTCAACTACACAATATTATTTCCAAAATCTTATCCAAAATAACAAAACAAACGCACCCGTTAATATTGAGATTTATGTCAAACTGCTTTCATTAAATAACGTAATAGTTTCAAATTTCAAGAAGCAATGCAATATGCCAATATCATGTAATAAAATAATTAATTATTAAATTCTAACAACATATTCTTAATCTTTAACACCCAAAATTAATTAAGAGTAAAACCAATTACCTCCCTTCAACTTTCTAAAATTCTACTAGGTCCAAACAAATGGCATATTACACAGTGTAGATGCAAAATATCTACCATTATGAAAATAGGGTCTGATCCCGTGAGGTTAATGCCACTAACAATCTGCTGCACCTGTACACATGAAAGGACAAGCGTAAGCTTCCGGAAAACATCGGGGTGGTGTTTGCCTAGGCACTCTGACGCTCAAGTCAGCAAGGCTGAAAGAGATTATTTGATAAGAATTAAGGTAATGAAGAATTACCAGGAGTCTTGTCGGAAGCTAGGACTACGGCGAAGGCGTCAGGTTCTTGGGAGCAAGAACTTTAGAAGCAAATAGATGGTTTTGAGTAGTGTAGATTGACTATGGGAGATTCCTCTTTATGAGAGGGCAGACCTTTGTTTATATAGTGAACCCAAGGGGTTGGAATCCTAGTAGGACACTAAGTCCTATTTTGGGAGATAATCCCTATTATCAGGAAAGAAATATGATTTCTTGACTTTATCAGGTTAAGTTTAATAGTTTGAGTAACATTTAGAATCTTAGTAGAAGAGGAAATAGAATGAGATTCTGATTTCCTGTTTATGGACTATTGCAGGTTAATGGGCTGAAACTCAGTTTAGCTTAACTTATAGGATAACCCAACTCATAGAGTGGGTAGTTCAAAAGGTGATTTTAAGCGTAGGCCCAATTGGGATTGGGCTGAGGCATTGGGTCGTGACATGTTTATTTTGTTATTGGGTCTCGTCAGGCTCAAGATAATTTTTGGCCCTAACACACAGTACCTCCCTTGCCGTTAGTTTCAACCGTTAAAATTGACATTAAAAAAAAAAACAATTCTTTGGCTAATATAATAACTAAAATGCCCTTCGAACTACAAAAAGTTAGATTACAATAATTGTGTTTGTTACATTATTAAATTAATATATTTAGAAGTTAGTTAGCTATTCTATTTTGTAATAATGATAACAGCCTTGAGTTTGCTTCAAAATACGTGCAAATGATTGTTTGACGTTTGTTATTTTGAGTCAGGAGTAATGTTTGGTCCACAATCTAATCTTACAATCCTTAACGTGGCAGTTAACAAAATAGATCTCGTATGTCTATTAACGAGCTAACCAATAATGAGCTACCACGTCGGGGGTTGTAAAAGAAATATGTGCACATAACATTATTATTTGAATTAGTCTTTTTTTTTTTTTTCAAAAGCATGACATATAAAAGGGTTAACCACCATTGAGTGGTCGAGTTGTTAACAAAGACTCTTGTATGTATTACTCAAAAGGAACTAAACTCAAGACCTCTTGAGTTTAAACTCAATATCTCTTGGTTAGCTCAATGGTCACCCTTATTAGCAGTCAAGATGAATTAAACTCAAGACCTCTTGAGTAATACACACAAGAATCCTTGAGTTTAATTTATCTTAACTGCTAATAGGGGTGACTTGAGTTTAATTTATCTTAACTGCTAATAGGGGTGACTACTGGAGGTTTACCGATTCGTTAACTTTAAATCTCAGAAAATTAATTGAAGTGCGCGCAAATTGACTCAAACACTCCCGTTCGACCAAAACACACACACACATATATAAGGTGTATGGACTTTTTCACAAAATTTGCCTTAATAGTTAGCTTTAATTGCTAAAATGCTGAGCAAACTAGGTGTGAACGATTCTCTTGCCTAAAGACTTGTCAGTTTAATTCCAACATTAAAGGGGGTTCGAGGCAATGTTCCGAAAATTGGACCGGAGTATGACCCGTTCAAGGATCCGATTTTCGGTTTGATTGGTTTGATCGATTGGTTGGACCGTATTCTGTAAAATTATTGTTAGTCCCTAAATGTTTGAAATTCATCAAAAACACCCTATAATACTCCCTTAAGGTTTGAAATTTGTCCAAAACACTCATGTCGCGCGAAGAGACTGGTGATGGTGGCAGCAGCGATGATCGACGGCCAATCAAAGTTTGGAATCATGGGGCTTTTTATGTATAGGTGTTGGCGAATCTGATGGTGGTGTTAGGGAGTTCCATCAGCTTCGGAACTCGCCGGAATCAAGAAAGAAGTCTGACAGTCGCATGAACTATAGGTGGATGGCCAGCGACGAAGGCTGGACGACGGCCACTGAAAATGATTGGGTTTTGTCGTGGAGATGCCGTTAAGTTTAATGGTGGTGTTTTCTCTCTTGAACGATGTCGGAATCCAGCAGGATTGAGTTGCGATTGGACCGCTAGGTTTTTACCAAAAAAAAAAAAAAAAAAAAAAAGAGCGCCGCCTCCCAAAGCAAAGCCGAAAAAAAACTGGTTGACTATTTAGTTCTACAGAATAGAGTAAGGCTAGCCCTTAAACAGCTAGCAGCTCTAATTGTCAAGACAAATTAAACGAGAAAGCACCATACACTATATATATAGTGCTCCATGCATGAATCAATGTACAAACTATTGCTTACTAAACAAAAGCAGGAAAGTGAATTTTAATGCACAGATCAAGGTTGTAAGGGAAGGATCAACACACGCTAAAGAAGATGTTTGGTGGAAAATGTGCAACACGTATTAATGGTGATCAGATCAAGTTGTAGAGCCGAAGCTGCAGATGTGGATATAGAGCCGATATTCGAATTTCAGAGAGCCAGGATAATCCAAATAGGCTGTATTTCTTTTGCATGGAAAGAAGTTGTGGGTTTTTTCAAGTTTTAGACACCCACAAATGATGAAATCAATCTTCTGGGCCATTGCTCTGCGTTATAAAGCAATGATATCGGAAGTGGGGAGGTCTATGCATGCAAGTGTGATGATAAGTTGGGGAAAGTTTCCGACGATTACAACAAAAAATTGTAGAAAATAAAGGATGTTGTATATGTAATAATAATAAAACTCTTGTTTATCATTATATGTATGATTGTAGAAATTCATTTCATGAATCAACATGTTAATCAGAACGAAGAATAAAACATTCGCAATCTAAAGATAATGAATATATTTAGAATAAGCAAATATAACTCTTCATACTGTATAATCCTAAACACAATCACATTCGAAACCCTTGGCTTCTAATTACTTCATGACTGAGTGTCTTAGGTCTTTAGTTTGAGTGTGAATCTAAAAACTATGATAGTAATCATGTTTCCAAGTCATTTTACATTTTTGCCTTTCAATATGTCAACTTTAATGGCTGAAACTGACAGTAGGGGAGCTACTTTTGTAATATACCATTTGTTTGGACTTAATTGTTAATTTCAGAATGTCCAATGGACGTAACTGGTTTTACTCCAAATTAATTATTACAATTATTATAATTAATTATAGGGGTGTGCAAAAGAACTGGCGAGTGCCCGAGGTTTCGGCTCTAGAAATCAAGAACCGATCAATTCCAATTCTGATTTTGGTTCCACCCTTGCAAGAACCGAAACCATAACTGGAATTGAGATTTAATTACCCAGATATAATTTTTGTAAACTATTAAGAATGTATTTGTCATCTTTTAAAAAGTAAGGATAATTAAAATCTAAATCTGGAGTTCCAATTCCAAATCCAAGGAATCGATTGGTTTCGATTTCTTTGAATTTAACTAAATTGGTGATGCGATGTGTTTGCAAAATCTTATCTTTGCCTTCAATTTCAAATGTTTCCTTGAAACTTTACATTTGAAAATGACTTATCATACTTTTAATTATTTAAAAATTTATTTAAATAGAGACACCAAAATAGTAGCTGTCCTTTCTTACTATTTTCATATTTATCTTTTTGTTCTATATTTGTTACCTTTTTCATTATTTTATTTAGTGCTAGACAAAGAATCCATTTCCAGGATTTTATGCTAACACTTTTTGAAAAATAATAAATCTTTTTGTTCCTTAATATATTAAAAAAAACTATATTTTATTATATTTTTTTCAAAATTCTCTCAAACAGGAGTACCATATGTTGTTTAAATTATTTTCATTACGAATTTTTTTTTTTTTTTGTAAAATACTTTTGAAAAATAAAATAAAATTGACCAGTTATGATGTCAGGCCATTGTAATTGCCGCAGGGCTTGGGCCACCATACAAATTAGAGGATGGACCCAGTCACCCAACTCAACCACTCGTTCTTAAACTGGCTTTTCAGCCAGGGCTCAGTTTCAATTATTAATAAAGTAGGTAGTTTTTTTTTAATTAAGAAAACAACAAATTTTTTTATATTAAATTAAACCCATTATTTTAACATAATCTCAATTCCAACATGGGTCCCTACTTCCCTGTACTGACTCCGAATCTTTTTCCTTTTGTTTTTTACGCAGATGACACCAGTCTTGAGCTAGTCGGCTGATTTTTATTATTATTATTATTATTTTTAAAGCAAAAAGAAATTAGATATTATGAGATTGCGTGACGGACAATATCAAAAGTAATAACGTACGAATTTTAAATCATACTATACAGATAAACATGATAATATTAACATAGTTACATCGTGTAAATAATATAATTTAATATGGTTTGATATTACTTAACTAAATCAAAGGATGTTAGGAAAACTCACTAATAACATTGAAATCAATTAATAACGTCAATAGATATACACTATTTTTGTCATCAAATTAGGGTGTTTAAAGGTTAATCAATTTTCGTCACTAATAATGTTAAAATGGACCGCCTACTATCACCTCATCAGACAGTTTAGGTTTCAGAATAACTCTCCAATCTTCTATATCAACATTTTACATAGATATCATTTTGTCATTAATTCTTTATATTTATAAAGTAATACATGATAGATTTCATATTTTTTTAATTTAAATGTAGCAGTAGCAGTTAGTTTTATGTAAGGATCTCAAATTTGTATGTACAATATAGTTAAAGTTTAAGGAGATTAGTGGTGGGTAAGATTTATTATGTTGGATTACAAATTCTAGCCGTACGAAATCAACTTCTCTCAGCTTTATTTTGTTATAAAAAATCATCGCTGTAAAGATCAGAACCGCACACTCTAGATCAGGACCCCGTATTACCTGCCACACGTCATTTTCGGACAACACAACACCAATAATAACAAACTCTCTCCAGCTCTTCCCTCTGCCCCCCCGCCGGCTAACTCTTTACTTTACACTCCGCCGCACAACCACCACCACCCTTTTTCTCTCTCTCTCTCTCCATATCTTTAAACACTTTTTCTTTTCACACGTGGGTTTCTGTCTGTTTCTTTAATAAACGCTTTTCATCGTCTACCCTCTAGTGTACACGCTACTTTGTGTTGTAATCTCTGTTTTGTCTCAAAGACGGCTTATAAACCGACCCAGAATAGAAAATTATTAAATTTCTTGAACATTCTGGGCATATGCTTTTGTTGAGTGTTGCTTAATACGCAGTCATTTTGGTTATTAGTTGAGAGATATCTGTTGGGATCAAAGAGATTGCTTTCGGGTGAAATTCGAGTGTTCTTTTGATTTGGGGAAAGAATGGCGGTAGAGTATAGTTGTTGTGAGACTAATTTCTTTATACATATTGTGATAATAGTGTTTTTGGTGATGTTTGCTGGGCTGATGTCTGGCCTTACTTTGGGACTCATGTCTATGAGTCTTGTTGATCTTGAAGTTCTTGCCAAGTCTGGAACTCCTAAGGATCGCAAACATGCTGGTATATATCTATATCTTTTTATGCTATGAATGATGTTTGTTTCTTTATTTGTATGTTTTAGCTCTTTTGCTCTACTGCATTTGTTTGTTTTTGTCGTTTGGTTGCTGAGAAAGTGAGAACAGAAGTGGGTTGTGGAGATCCCGTAAGTTCTACTTGAAAAGATTGAAGCTAATGTAGAGTTATTTGCATCTTCGAAAATTCGTATCTGACTCTGATGTAAGTTAGTTTTGTATGGTTTCTTGGGGTGATGATGTTGAGAGTTTGAAAATTTGTTGTTTAATTTCCAGTTTTGGTTAAGTTTGTGAAAACGTTCTGTTTGGATGTTTCAAAAGTTATGGAAGAGTTTTGTACGGGATTTGGTAGCATGATGTCTCTAAGTTCAATGTAAATAGGATTATATGGTGTAAGGGCTATATATTTTTCTATCAGAGAAGTTTTGAGAAAGAATTAGTTTTACTAGGAATTGGGAATTTTTTTATTAAAGTAAAAAATGGATTGTAAAATCTAGAAATGAAAATTGTAGTTTGATAGCCTTTTTGTAGTGAAAAGTTTGGTTTAGACTAAAACCTGGAAAACTAATCCAAAATCCTCAGGAAGTTCTAGAAAGTATTCAAAATAACTTCTAAGTATTTTTAGTCTTCCTCATTTGGTTTTGGTTTTGTTGATTTTGTGAGTCTCTGTCCGACATCAGTCGACTATTGTGATCCAGAAATGTTATTGGAGCTTGGAGAATAGTTTTTGGGGATCCTAGATTTTGTTGGCAGGCCCAACTACTAAATCTTCTACAAGTCATGGTCTGTAATGGGTAATAACTGCTACTGCGAATGCTATATATCTACAATTTTACCTTTTACAATGTATATTGACAACCCAAGGACTACTTGATATGTTTGCATGGAAATTTCTTAATATGTTACATACTTCTTATGCTGATAAGTTGTGCTACAGCAAAGATATTGTCGGTTGTCAAAAAGCAGCATCTGTTGCTATGCACTCTACTCATTTGCAATGCTGCTGCCATGGAGGTAATATTATTCAGATGTTGTGAACTAATTATTTGGTTAGATTTCTTGGAAGGATAAATAAATGTTCTGAATGAATTTTTTTCTTTCTAATTTTCAGGCACTTCCGATTTTTCTTGATGGTCTGATAACAGCTTGGGGTGCAATTCTGATTTCAGTTACACTGATTCTTCTGTTTGGTGAGGTGAGGATCCGACTCTAACTGTATTTTCTCTTAGAGCTGAGATCAGGACAGATGGCAACTTATATAGTGAAACTAAAGCTTATGCCTCTAACTTGTTTGGTATATCGTGCTTGTGTATTGTTGATTTTGTTTTCATGCCTAGCACCTCATCTGGAGCTCTCACTGAATGATGGATCTAATTTTCTGCATTGTTGCTGCATAAACAGGACAGCAATGTTATCTGTCCATTCTGACATAAAACACCTGCATGGGAGAATATCATATGTTGTACAGCATTTTTTATTTGTGTTCAAAGCTGTTAGTAATTTCTGTAATAGTTATCCACTTTTGTGCACAGATAATTCCACAGTCTGTTTGTTCTCGATATGGTCTGGCAATAGGAGCAACTGTGGCTCCATTTGTCCGTGTTCTTGTTTGGGTCTGCTATCCGGTTGCTTTTCCGATAAGCAAGGTAATATATGTTGGGAAAACCCTTTTTTCTATTTTATTAATGATATAGAGCAATCAAGTTGGTTCATTTGGAAAATTTTATCTTTTTTTACCGAAATAGTTTTTCATTTTTGCTGTTTTTGCAGCTATTGGACTATTTGTTGGGTCATGGACATGTAGCACTCTTTCGCAGAGCTGAGCTGAAAACACTTGTAGATTTTCATGGTAATGAGGTGTGTACAATAACTTGTAAAAATTTCCAAATCTTGACCGAAGCTTTTGATTAATTTATATGTGTACATAAATATGTATTTAATGCTTATTTGGCTCGTTTCTTTCACTTGTCTTGCCATTTGTTTAGTGAAATTCCAACTTTTTTGCGTTTTTTTTAAACCCTCTCTAGGGTTTATTTGCATTATTCATGTTATATTAATTTGACACCATTGTATATTTTGGCCTGTTCATGTTATCCATATCACATAACATTGTTTCGTCCTCCTCTTCTTTATAATCACATATAATTGGAGTGTTACACTGTGATTGCCTTTTACTAGGCAGGAAAAGGTGGAGAACTGACACATGATGAGACAACAATTATTGCTGGGGCACTGGAGCTCTCAGAGAAAACAGCAAGTGATGCTATGACTCCTATATCTGAAACTTTTGCTATCGATATTAATGCTAAGCTTGACAAGTAAGATGTTCTAAAGAGTATTGAACAGAAAGCCAGTACCGGTTGCCTATTTATCATCTTGATTAGCATTCTCTTTTTGGACAGGGATTTGATGGGTCTAATATTGGAGAAAGGACATAGCAGAGTGCCGGTTTATTATGAGCAATGTACAAACATAATTGGGCTCATTTTGGTAAATTGAAAATCAATCTTTGTAATATATATTCATCTAAGATTATGTAGTTTTCTGATCCATTTGGTATGAATCTTCATTGCTTGAATTGTTTGATTTGCTTGTTTTCCTTTTTTTTTGCTTTTGTTCCCCTTCTGTTACCCTTTCAGCTTCATCTAACCCTGTCAGATATCTTATGGTATAACTTTGATACTCTGTTTTGCCTCAGATTTGAAATTACTTAGTCTTACATATAATTATATCAGAGAGTTTAGACATGTTTACATCCTTGTACAATGAAGAAAACTTCAAGGATTTGCAGGAATTCCACTTCATGATTTATGTTGTTAGATAAAGTGCTATATCTAGTCTATGAAGAATTTATTATAGTGTAATACAATATGAAGAAAGAGGTTGATGGTGAATTAGGGAGTAAGATTTGTTTGCATGATTTTAAGGTAGGTTTTCTGAATTTGGAATGAACTTCTAGGAAATCCTAATGAGTGTGGGATCTATTGCTAATTTCTTATTGATACTTATGCATCATGATTTGGTGACTTCAATTTCTTGTGCGTGCTTTATGATCAGTTCGATTTGTTTGCATGTAGATATGGCATAAAGATTTTAATTCAACCTAGCCTTATTTTAGCAACGAAATAGAATGATCATATTGTGAATCTTAACAGGCACCAGTGTCTATTACTTGACTTTTGTATAATCATTTTATATATTCTAAGAGACACTAATTCAAATTGATTGTGAGACACTAATTCAAATTGATTGTGAGACACTAATTCAAATTGATTGTGTGCTCTTGTATTTTACCGCAGATGTTGCATGTGAGTAATTGGTTATTAAGTTTTAATGTTTATGTATACCTAAAATTCATGTTTGCTTTTAATTTTATTTCCTTCTATATATGCTCATGTCATAAGTTTACTGCCATATTTTCGTTCATTCCAATCTTTAGGTCAAGAATTTGCTGACAATACATCCAGAGGATGAAGTTCCTGTGAAAAGTGTCACTATACGCAGGATTCCAAGGTATCTTATATTGATTCAAGTAGTTGTTCTCAAAAACACTTGATGTGGCATTGTGTGTCATTAAACAAATATTCTATGTGTATTTGTGTGCTAGGGTTCAGGAAACTTTGCCATTATATGATATATTGAATGAGTTCCAGAAAGGTCACAGTCATATGGCTGTTGTTGTTAAGCGGTGCAGCAAGACTGCGGAACAATCTGCTAACCCTGCTACCAACTCTGCTGACAGTAAGAGCCAAGCTTATTCTGTAATCTATTTGAAAATAATTGATTTAGCCCAGGAACTGAAAGTTCATGCCCCTTGGAATTTTGCTTACAATCGGTTTTTTTTCTTCTCTTTGTATGATAGATTCAGTGAGAGACATGAAGATTGATATTGATGGTGAAAAGCCTCCACAAGAGAAGGTTTTAAAGAGCAAAAGATCGCTGCAGAAGTGGAAGAGCTTTCCCAACAACAGCTCAAGAAATCTCTGCAAGACTAGTTCTAGGAGCAAGAAGTGGACGAAGGAAATGTACTCAGACATTTTGCAGATTGATGGTAATCCACTTCCAAAGCTCCCTGAGGAAGAAGAAGCTGTTGGCATAATCACAATGGAAGATGTCATTGAAGAACTTTTACAGGTACTATATCATAGATATAATTCTTGACAGATTTTTAATTTATATTCTTCCACAGTTCCTCACTAATTTCCTTGTGACCTTAATTTGCATTAAATAGGAGGAGATCTTTGATGAGACCGATCATCAGTTTGAGGACTCATGACACATGCTTTGATGATAAGCTATGCAGAATTCTACCATCATACAATAGCGAGAAATTTGTTGAATTCGTTTTGGAAGTTAGTTTCAGTTGGGATTCGATTTAAAAATTATTATAGTCATATAATGCCATATGAGATCTGTTAAGAGTGAAGTAAGAAGGTAATTGTATTATATGTTTGAACTTATTATATGAGAGCTTTGTAAGTAAAGCTTCTGGAGATGTAAAAGACAGTTTTTTTGCCAGTTAAGATAGAAGAAGTGTTGGTATTAGTTGGATGTATCTTTTTGCACAAACTCTCATGTTATCTGGATTTTTATCTGTTGAATAATATTGGGTTTATTTAAGATTCATATGAATGAACGAATAATTAGGTAACTGCCGGACATTGGTGAAATTGAGATTGATATATTGTCCTTTGATAATTAGATATATTATGTTCATTTTATCAATGTTTTAATAACTAACTGGGAGAAACCTGGCAAAGTAGCCAGGTCTCGGGTTGACCGGCCGGTCAAATTGGGTGTCAAAATTTTTTAAATTTAGCAAATGCACCCCTAAAATCTCATTAAGTCTCTACAGGTTTGAAATTTAGTAAACACACTCCAAATACAAATCGGATGTTGACTAGTTAGCGGCGACAACACACCAAATGCAATCTCAATCATCCCTTGAGCCCATACCCTAGAAAATCTACCCAATATCTAACTGAAATATACTGATTTCGATCATATCTAACCAATGTCAGCGTCGACCATTTTGACCAGATCTTACCACCGTCGACAACCCTCCCAATCACCACAAAATACTTCCCTCAGCACCCTTGTTCACCTCGCCAATCGCCGAAAAAGCTGACTATTGCCGTCACCGTTTATTTCGATTTTCAATTGATTAACTCACCAGAAATCAATTTCGTCACCACCATTGCACTCACCAACACTTCCTCTTCAAATGCCCCAACATCCTAACCTTCAATTGTTCGTCGATCATTATCCCAAATTTTAGGGTTTTGGATGAATAGGAAAATTGTTAATTCAGCTCAGTAAAGGTCCCAAGTCCCAATTAAATTGGTTTAACCGGCCAGGTCGGGCCTGGTGTTAAAGCACTGCATTTTATGGAAAATGATTGAATAATTTTATGTTATATCACAGTTTTAGTTATCATCCTGCAAAACTCCATGGTGAAACCAATACCAAAGGTAGAAAAGGGTTCCAACAGCGCCTTAAATTACTTTGAATTGTCAAAACGAGAACAATCTTTGTACAAACAAGAATGTCATATAATTCTAGAGTAATACTACATTTACAAAGTCCCTATACAAAGATATATGTACAAAGTGATGTGTCATACCATGATTGGACAATGAATTTGAATTTAGTTAAAAAGTTGACTTTACAAATTCACTCTCCCAATCATAGTATGACACCTCACTTTGTACACACATCTTTGTATGAGGACTTTGTAAGTGTAGTATTATTCATAATTCTAACAGGCTCACTCGTGATGTATGGAAACTATATGTAAAATAACAAAGAACTGCCCTTCTTACTTGTGATGTTTACTTTTTTTCTCTTCCCTTCTCTTCTTCTTCTTGTGCCCATCCTTTTCTTTAGACTTGTGCTTCTTAGAGTGCTTTTTGTTTGAGCTACCTGAGCGTTCCGTCTTTTTCTTCTTTCGCCTGTCCTTGTCAAACTCCTTGTCAGAAGATTCACAAGTTTTCAATGAAATAGGCTTCTCAGGACCAAGGACTCGATGTCGCCATACATCATTTCCTGTTGAAAACTTCTCATTGGAGTCCGGAGAAGGGGCAAGGTAAGGACCTGTTTCATCCATCCTTGAACCAACAGTACCTCGGCCACGCTTGATTCTGCCATTAACAAAGATATTAATGTCACAAACCAATATAACTTTTTGTATATAATTGGAATTAAGATGAGATCAACCATGTCCTTAAGTCCAACACACAAACAAGCCAAATTAGAGAAAGGAAATTATCTAATTACCTTGAATGTAGAAATTCCTCAACCTCTTCATCTCTCAAGCCTTCATCTTCCCTATAATAGCTATTATTCTCAGATAGTCTTTTGCTTGATGAGCATGAATCAGTGGTGCTGTCATCATCCATGGCATGCCCCTTAGTTGAGCTTCTAGAATTACCAATGTTCCTATGGCTCCTGTTGCTCCTCTCATCTTTTGATCTGTCTTTAAGCCTATCATTTAGCTCTAGCTCTTTTTGCCGGACACGCCACATCTCATTTACTTCAACAGCTCGATTAGCTGGCCAAAATGGAAAATAAAATAAATGAGAAAAATAGAAGATACACATAGTAATGCATAACATAAAAGCAACAAAATATCCACCAAGCAGGAATTTAATATGTTCATCTATGGGAATCCAGAATGCAATTGGCAGGTGAACAGAAATTCTAAGGAAAATAAGAATGATATTGAGCACAATAGGTTCATGGTTAAAAACAAAATGGGGCATCCAGTTCCAATGGATGTCAAGACCCTTAATTGGTTCATTAAGATCCTTATAAAAGTTAACGGGTTCTTTTAGTAACAATAGGATTTTCAAACACTATGAATCGCTAAAATCAAAGATCCAAGTATCCATTACTTAAAAATATCCCACCCACCTGAATCTTTTATACAGAACCAGTTTATAATAATCTACATGGAAAACCACTATTTCTTTTATTTGAACTCAAAGCTGACCTTTGGCAAGGTGTGAACTATTTACATGAAAAACAAGCATAAGAGGGAAACTATACCTCACAGGGAAATGATCACTTTCTGCACACAAAGCATATATACCTTTAATTATATTATCCTTCCTTTCAAGCATTGAAATTTTGAATTAAATGGAAGGAATGCAAGTATTACTCCATCAATAAGAAAACGTACCTTGTTGCACCCCAAGAACAGTTGCACTGAGGAACCGTGAATTTGGCCGACCCCTCACTTTAGGCTGCTGAATATAAGCCTGCACACCTTCCTTCTCAGCTTGTTGCCGTAACTCTGCTGCTTCCTTCAAAAGGATTGCAGCTATTCTGTTCTCAGTCTCAAGATCCATCTAAACCAGCAAAGAAGTTCCAAAAAGATCGGTGAATAGTTCAAATACAAAGTTAAACTAAGCAAGTTAAGAATGGAAAAGCTTAAAAGCTGTCATCATCTTCCTAGAACGCTACAGTGTGAGGTTTAAGCACAATATGATATTTATTTACACAAAAAAAGAGGGCAACATACAATAGCGAGAAATTTGTTGAATTCGTTTTGGAAGTTAGTTTCAGTTGGGATTCGATTTAAAAATTATTATAGTCATATAATGCCATATGAGATCTGTTAAGAGTGAAGTAAGAAGGTAATTGTATTATATGTTTGAACTTATTATATGAGAGCTTTGTAAGTAAAGCTTCTGGAGATGTAAAAGACAGTTTTTTTGCCAGTTAAGATAGAAGAAGTGTTGGTATTAGTTGGATGTATCTTTTTGCACAAACTCTCATGTTATCTGGATTTTTATCTGTTGAATAATATTGGGTTTATTTAAGGTTCATATGAATGAATGAATAATTAGGTAACTCCCGGACATTGGTGAAATTGGGATTGATATATTGTCCTTTGATAATTAGATACATCATGTTCATTTTATCAATGTTTTAATAACTAACTGGGAGAAACCTGGCAAAGTAGCCAGGTCTCGGGTTGACCGGCCGGTCAAATTGGGTGTCAAAATTTTTTAAATTTAGCAAATGCACCCCTAAAATCTCATTAAGTCTCTACAGGTTTGAAATTTAGTAAACACACTCCAAATACAAATCGGATGTTGACTAGTTAGCGGCGACAACACACCAAATGCAATCTCAATCATCCCTTGAGCCCATACCCTAGAAAATCTACCCAATATCTAACTGAAATATACTGATTTCGATCATATCTAACCAATGTCAGCGTCGACCATTTTGACCAGATCTTACCACCGTCGACAACCCTCCCAATCACCACAAAATACTTCCCTCAGCACCCTTGTTCACCTCGCCAATCGCCGAAAAAGCTGACTATTGCCGTCACCGTTTATTTCGATTTTCAATTGATTAACTCACCAGAAATCAATTTCGTCACCACCATTGCACTCACCAACACTTCCTCTTCAAATGCCCCAACATCCTAACCTTCAATTGTTCGTCGATCATTATCCCAAATTTTAGGGTTTTGGATGAATAGGAAAATTGTTAATTCAGCTCAGTAAAGGTCCCAAGTCCCAATTAAATTGGTTTAACCGGCCAGGTCGGGCCTGGTGTTAAAGCATTGCATTTTATGGAAAATGATTGAATAATTTTATGTTATATCACAGTTTTAGTTATCATCCTGCAAAACTCCGCGGTGAAACCAATACCAAAGGTAGAAAAGGGTTCCAACAGCGCCTTAAATTACTTTGAATTGTTAAAAAGAGAACAATCTTTGTACAAACAAGAATGTCATATAATTCTAGAGTAATACTACATTTACAAAGTCCCTATACAAAGATATATGTACAAAGTGATGTGTCATACCATGATTGGACAATGAATTTGAATTTAGTTAAAAAGTTGACTTTACAAATTCACTCTCCCAATCATAGTATGACACCTCACTTTGTACACACATCTTTGTATGAGGACTTTGTAAGTGTAGTATTATTCATAATTCTAACAGGCTCACTCGTGATGTATGGAAACTATATGTAAAATAACAAAGAACTGCCCTTCTTACTTGTGATGTTTACTTTTTTTCTCTTCCCTTCTCTTCTTCTTCTTGTGCCCATCCTTTTCTTTAGACTTGTGCTTCTTAGAGTGCTTTTTGTTTGAGCTACCTGAGCGTTCCGTCTTTTTCTTCTTTCGCCTGTCCTTGTCAAACTCCTTGTCAGAAGATTCACAAGTTTTCAATGAAATAGGCTTCTCAGGACCAAGGACTCGATGTCGCCATACATCATTTCCTGTTGAAAACTTCTCATTGGAGTCCGGAGAAGGGGCAAGGTAAGGACCTGTTTCATCCATCCTTGAACCAACAGTACCTCGGCCACGCTTGATTCTGCCATTAACAAAGATATTAATGTCACAAACCAATATAACTTTTTGTATATAATTGGAATTAAGATGAGATCAACCATGTCCTTAAGTCCAACACACAAACAAGCCAAATTAGAGAAAGGAAATTATCTAATTACCTTGAATGTAGAAATTCCTCAACCTCTTCATCTCTCAAGCCTTCATCTTCCCTATAATAGCTATTATTCTCAGATAGTCTTTTGCTTGATGAGCATGAATCAGTGGTGCTGTCATCATCCATGGCATGCCCCTTAGTTGAGCTTCTAGAATTACCAATGTCCCTATGGCTCCTGTTGCTCCTCTCATCTTTTGATCTCTCTTTAAGCCTATCATTTAGCTCTAGCTCTTTTTGCCGGACACGCCACATCTCATTTACTTCAACAGCTCGATTAGCTGGCCAAAATGGAAAATAAAATAAATGAGAAAAATAGAAGATACACATAGTAATGCATAACATAAAAGCAACAAAATATCCACCAAGCAGGAATTTAATATGTTCATCTATGGGAATCCAGAATGCAATTGGCAGGTGAACAGAAATTCTAAGGAAAATAAGAATGATATTGAGCACAATAGGTTCATGGTTAAAAACAAAATGGGGCATCCAGTTCCAATGGATGTCAAGACCCTTAATTGGTTCATTAAGATCCTTATAAAAGTTAACGGGTTCTTTTAGTAACAATAGGATTTTCAAACACTATGAATCGCTAAAATCAAAGATCCAAGTATCCATTACTTAAAAATATCCCACCCACCTGAATCTTTTATACAGAACCAGTTTATAATAATCTACATGGAAAACCACTATTTCTTTTATTTGAACTCAAAGCTGACCTTTGGCAAGGTGTGAACTATTTACATGAAAAACAAGCATAAGAGGGAAACTATACCTCACAGGGAAATGATCACTTTCTGCACACAAAGCATATATACCTTTAATTATATTATCCTTCCTTTCAAGCATTGAAATTTTGAATTAAATGGAAGGAATGCAAGTATTACTCCATCAATAAGAAAACGTACCTTGTTGCACCCCAAGAACAGTTGCACTGAGGAACCGTGAATTTGGCCGACCCCTCACTTTAGGCTGCTGAATATAAGCCTGCACACCTTCCTTCTCAGCTTGTTGCCGTAACTCTGCTGCTTCCTTCAAAAGGATTGCAGCTATTCTGTTCTCAGTCTCAAGATCCATCTAAACCAGCAATGAAGTTCCAAAAAGATCGGTGAATAGTTCAAATACAAAGTTAAACTAAGCAAGTTAAGAATGGAAAAGCTTAAAAGCTGTCATCATCTTCCTAGAACGCTACAGTGTGAGGTTTAAGCACAATATGATATTTATTTACACAAAAAAAGAGGGCAAGAACACGTGGACATGAGAATACCACTTCATGAGAAGAAAAAGACAGACACAAAACAGATAAAGAACAATAAAAATCACATCACAAGCCAAAAATAAAATATAATAAGGCAAGTAAAAGCTCCAAGTAGTAAACACCCTTTGCGGCTTAAAGAGTATTCACTCATTATTGGTTCCTCAAGATCATTCTCTAGCCTAGGAATATCATCTGATACTCCAATGAAGTTACCTACTATGAACTGTGATTCAAACTCTTTAAGGAGAAGGTAAATTTCTACACTCAAATGTCTTGAAATACCTTTCTTCCTAAATCAACCAGATAGGCTAGATAGTAGCTAATGTCACAGCCTTCAAAAATAATATTCCACTCAACACAACAAAACTTTGATGTGCAAAACATACAAACAATCTACCCAAACATGAGCAGATTGAATAAGTAAAATTAGACCAGAAACAAGCAAACAGAGGGATCGTGAAATAAAGATGATCCTGTGAATCAGCAAAGAAACAGAGGCATCACATAAAGATGATCATTTTATCTAAAACTAAAATTCTCTCCCCCGTCACTAGTATGCATTTAAAATTTACTGACTCTCATATTAATCACATATGCACATAACTTCTTGACACAGTGATACATTCCTCTCAACATAAACAATTTTCTATATAAAAAATAATACTTTTTTACGAAAAAATAGAACAGGCCACTAAAAAAAAAAAACATCAATCACGACATTTGCCAGTATTAATCCAAACTCTAGAACTAATCAAACCAATGTATAAACAATCAAACTAAATTGAAAATTTGTCCAAACTCCAAATCGAGATGAAATAAAAACCAAACAAAACAACCAAAATATTAACGGAAACTTGAAGTAACGCATAATTAAGAAAACTTGAATTAAAATTGTCACTTTCTTGTATGTTGCCACATTTCCTTAAAACCAAACAGAAAACCCTAACACTAAAAGAAATTTCCAGCAAAAACTATTTCTCATTTTTAAACGCATAAATTGGAATCAAACTACGAGGTTATTTCAACTGCTCAGCTACAAACATACCCCATTCAAAAGACAAACCGAAGATACTAATTAAAGAGAATTAAAAAAAAAAAAACTGAAGTATCAAAAAAATTGAAGATTCAACCAACAATAAGCAGTAACTGAAAACGTATCACGCGTTGATTAAGCCAGATTAAGAAACACAAAATTCTATAAGGACAAAAAAAGGGACGTTTGAGTCAAACGTATAACAAAGAAAATGGGTAAGATAATGGATATACCTGCAGCGAGAAAAAAGAATTCTTCAAGACAGATAGAGAGAAAGAACAATAAGCAGAGTGAAACTGCACGGGAGCCGGATACGGAGGAGAAGGTGAAGGAGGCGGGGCGGGGCGGGGCAGAGAGATGGTGAGGAGGCGGAGGAGGAGATGAAATACAATGATATTGGAGGTGGTGTTTGTGAATTTGGAATTTGGGGCTCTTCTTGGTTCTTTGCTTTGGTTAGAATTTTGTATAATAATTTATTTATATAAAATAAATTTTTAATTTTGAAATCAATCTGGCATCATATGTTATATTTATATATACATTGTTCTTTTGATGAAATAAAATAACCATTATTTATGCATCCCCCATATATTCATTCTATATTTTGTGAATTATTAAAAATCCCATAAATAATAAGAACATTAATAAACAAATAAAACCCCTTTAAAAAAGGTGTGCGAAATAAAATAAATATTTAATCATCCAGATCCTGTCGACGCACACACCAATATGCAACTGGAGTGACGTGTCCAGAGCAGAAAGGTCCAACCTTCACTACCCACTAGGGTTTATCGTTGACTGCCCACACATTTGCAGCTTCACTCAGAGCAGCTTTTCTTTTTATTCTTCTTCATCAAAAACATGTCTCTCACTCACAACCTCTCCTCTTCAATCATCTCTTCTTCCTCCTCTGCTTTTCTGGCTCCAACTAAAATCAATTACAGGTACTTCTATCTTTTACTACGCTGAGAAATTGGAGCAACAATGAAATGAAATGACCCATTTGTTACAACTTCTCTCAAGTTTTTCATCTGGGTTCCATTTCTCTCTCCACATTACTCACTTATCCCATATGCTGTTTTTTCTCTAAATAAAATCAGTTTAATTGATGGGTTTTTCTTTTTTGTAATGTAATATTGCAGACCGCAGAACGTTTCGCTTCAAGCTAAACGCATGGATGTTTGCAAATGTGTTGCGACGCCTCAAGAAGAGAAAATTGGTACTTTTAAATTAATTTATTTATTTGTTTTAATAAGTATGATGATTTGAAGGGATATGCTACGGTACATTGCCAACAATCAGTCCTATAATGAGCAATGCTATCCATACCTGTAACATTTTATATGAAATTAGGGATAATATATAAATTTTGATTCTAAAGATTTGGTAAATGTTACCATTTTTTGTTGTCTGGCCCGATAATGTTACTGGACGCATATGACCTCTGATTTCAATGATGTTTTCATTCAGAATAATTTGTGAATACGAACTCTACATACAAACTAGTGTGGTGTGGCATGACATGATTTTGCCAATCGTGTGGTAGTGCCTTTTGAGTTTATATGTGTATAGTTTTTCTGGTTCAATAGGAATTTGGTGTTGGAATTGAAACTCTAGTAATAACATATGCTGTTCAGTTTAAATGAGAAGCATTTGGAATATGTAGTTTAGTTTAAAGGTTTAATTAGCTTTTGTGTAGGAGTGCCAGTGGTTGGTAACTTGGGTGTTGAAGAGATTCTTTTAATGGTAATAATTGGTGGCCTATTTGGGAACAGGGATTTTGATTTACTTATCGGGTATCGTTATTGGTTAGATTTGAATTATTGGCATCAGATTTGATCAATTTCAGTGAGAGCAATTGTTTCAAGAACAATCCTGGTGAAAGTTGCTTGAATTGCTCCTTTTAGAATGGAACAAATTCATCTCATTGATGCATGTGCCTACCTATTCAACATAAATCCAACATTTATATTTCATCAAAGCATGTGCCTAAGAGTTTTGTTTTGCCCCTGAACCAAATATTTAGAGAAAACTTTAAATTTTCTTATAGCATGTCGATTAGTTTTCCAGAATAAGGGTACTTCATTTATTTATTATTTTCTATTGTAACTTAGGAAAATCAATTATTTGATCACTATTACTGCATATGGTGTTCTAAATTTGTGCAGCAAATTTGAGAAATGTAATTCTTGAGATGTGATATCATTGAACTAAGCTAACCGGATGTTTTTCTTTGAAAGCACTTATTGATGCCTGCTTCTTGTGTTAATTCAGTTGAATTGTTCTTAATATATTCTGGTTTTGGTGAAGCTTACAAGACAAAAGTTTCACGCAATTCAAATATTGCCAAACTTCAAGCTGGTTACCTTTTTCCAGAGGTCCGTAGTGATGCTTTATCATTTGTTTTATTGATGACTCTATGCTATTGACTTGCTCTCAATACTATAAATTTTTTTTTTTTCTCCCTCTAAATTGTTGTCATCCTATTAGGATTTCTACATTTTTTTGAATATGTATCAGATCAGATTTACAGTTTATGGTAATTTTGATTTGTTTTTCCCCTCAAATGTTGAAGATTGCCCGAAGAAAGGCTGCACACTTGCTGAAATACCCAGATGTGCAAGTGATAAGCCTTGGAATTGGTGACACTACTGAGCCCATCCCAGAAGTTATAACTTCTGCAATGACAAAGGTACTTGTTCTTAAGTCTTTTTCTTTTGTTAGCTATATAACAGGCACTATTTGCTAAATGGCAATTTATGCTGTTGCTGATACATGGTTTTATTTTTTATTTTCCCCTTTGGCAGAGATCTTATGCATTGTCTACCATGGAGGGTTACAGTGGTTATGGACCTGAACAAGGTGAAAAAGTATGTGGGAAATCTTATTTTAATTGGAAATATCATTATTGATTCACATTTTGTGGTTAATGTTAGATATGGGTTAGAGTTGATGCTTTTTCGTGTTGGCTCATATCATTAGCAATTTTTGCTTATTAGCTGAAGATACGGTGTTGCCCTTGCATGCTTATGCTATCATCCAATTTGAACTGAGAACTTGAAATATGCACAGACTGAATGCATGATATAAGCAGGCTATGTGTGGAAATTGAAATATATTATTAGTGCACATAATTATCTTCATTCAGAAGTTACTTATTTTAGCACTCATTTAATTCCTTTTAGGAGAGTACATATATTTTTATTTATATTATTTAGGTATTTGTGTATTCTTTATCTAAACATATGTATATGTTATGTCTACGCAAAAACCATCTTTGCATCCTTTATACACGGTATGGAAAGTATTAATTAAATTATGATATACATGTTGACACTCTTCTTAGATTTTTCTATTTTATTCTAATCAGCTTATTGAAAGAGTTTTTTTTTTTTTTTTTTTTTTGGTAATATATAGGGTAAATATTTCCTGGGTCCCTTAAGGTTTGTCATTATATCAAACCTACCCATGTGGTTTTATAATAACACAGAACCCCCTATCTCAGTAAGTTTCAGGGGCTCTATGAGATAATTATCCTATATACAATAGAACCTTTCTATAGTGATACTTTATATAGGAATAATCTTCATGTAATCATAAAAAATTATGGCCCTAACTTGGACAGTTATAAATAAGAATAATTTTCACATTGTAATAAGTTATAATTTTCTAGGTCCCATCCTAAGGAACTTGCCTCTACATAGTAATAATTATATGTATATTGCAAAAAATATATGTTATGTTACATTAAAGGTTTAAGATGAAATAAAATATTTATCTAAAGTTGTTTGGGACAATGATTCATGCTTTAGAGTTGTTACCCCATCTTTTATCTTGCGGGTATGTAATAAGTTGCCAGCATAGACACCTTCTTGTTAAAGCCAAAATATTTTTAGTTTCTCAAGCATGTTTAGAGTTTCTTAACATGAAACTTTTGGTATTTCTGTACTATCATCCTCAGGATTATCTCTTTCCTCTTTTTGTTTAATTCCAGTAATGAATTCTTCTTCAGTTAAAGTATACACGACTTGTTGCTCATTTGGATGATTGATGAAGACATTAATATCCATTTGATTATAGTGAGACTGTCTAATCTGATCACTCAATTTTGTAATAACTCTTTGTTATCCATTTTCGTTACTATTCTAATGCTACTAAAACAATGAATTGAAATCCTAATACTACTAAAACATGAATTATAAAATAAGAAATCAAATCAATAATTTTTTGATCAAAACAATAATTCTTGTAACTATACCTCTATTAAGTTATAACCTTCTCATAGTAATAAATTTAGTTGGTTCCAACATTATGACTATAGAGAGGTTCTACTGTATTTGAAATTATTGGGGGTGGGAGTTTGATATTAATGGCAAACAGTTACAGTAGTTTGTGATGTTTTCCCAAGGAGTGTGTTTAATATGATAATAAATCTCTGGGGTTCTTAGTGATAGTTCCCCCATATATATATGGTATCTTGCTCTTACAAACCTTTGGAGCCTTATTGCTAATACTTGGTATTGAATATTCAATCCACTGTTGCCACTTACCTGTATATATGCTTATATCATATTGTCATGTGTGTTCATAATATTTTGGGAATTCTTGCTGAATGCATATCTACTGAAGATTTTCGTTTCGCTGTTGCCTGAATGCAATCTTCTACTGGGTTTAACGTTAGTTTGGCCAATTGTTAGTACAGATGCAAATTGAACTGTATTAGTAAAACTGAATGGCCCAAGTCTTCTAGTGATAATTTGTTGTGCTTTTATTTCTTTTAAATGAAGAAATTTTAAAGAATGTATAAATAACGGAAATTGTCATATTCTGCAGCCATTGAGAGCTGCAATTGCTTCAGCATTTTATAAGGACCTTGGCATAGATGAAGGTGATATATTTGTTTCAGATGGTGCAAAATGCGACATATCTCGGCTTCAGGTTTGTATAGATTTTGAATATGCTAAAGTTTTTATGGGCTGATTTATTATTATGTCTCCAAAATTATCCAGTTTCTCTTAAATTTGTTGTAGGTTGTTTTTGGTTCTGATGTTACTATGGCGGTTCAAGATCCATCATACCCGGTAATTCATTTTCTTTTTATTTAATTGCAAGATAATTTTACTTAATGAGTGTGTAATTTTCTCCTTTTGATAAAATGTATTTTGATGTAATCGAAGGGTTATATTGAGTTTGTCTTACATGATAGTTTATTTCTGCAATTGAAGTTTTGACTGCATAGTGTTTCTGTGAATATCAGAATATCAATGGGAATTAAATGAAATTGATCTGATACATCTATTCCATTTGACTGCCTTGTATAATATTTTTCCAGATCCCTTTTGATTGAGATGGTTCACTTCTTTAGTTGATCTAGAAAAGTTGTCAGTACTGGTTTGTTATTCAACGCATTCTCATGAAAAAAAGTCCAAGATCTAATGGCCTTACTTTATTGCACTTCATTTGGGTTTTAATATATACCAGGTTTGTCTTTTAGATGGTATGAAATCTTTTGATAAATGTGATTCTTCTTATGATGGTTTTATGTATAAAGAACGCTAAGTCCGAACATTACTTCATAACTACTATCTCTTATGAAAAACGAAAAACAAAAACCTTTTAACGCATCAGGTATTTACCAGAATAAAACAAAAGTTGGCTGAACTTTCCGTTGGGCTGTTCTGGTAGATTGTGTAATCACCTACTTGCATTATACTGGATAAGATATGCTGTAAGAATAAAGTGATGTTTGGGGGTGTGCATGGTGATTCTGATTGGATTGAGTGAAAATAGGAAGCAAGAAACAAAGAAGAGAGAATAAAATACTAACCCACACAAGTCAATGGCATATCTTTGTTTGTTAATGAGATAGTCTATTAATGTTAGAGCTTTCTTTTTCAATATGCAGGCTTATGTAGACTCAAGTGTCATTATGGGCCAGACTGGAGATTTTCAAAAGAATTTGGAGAAGTATGGAAAAATTGAATACATGAGATGTTCTCCAGAGAATGGCTTCTTCCCTGATTTATCAACTGTTGGTCGAACAGATATCATATTCTTTTGTTCACCAAATAATCCTACTGGGGCTGCTGCAACGAGGGAACAACTGACCCAATTGGTTAAGTTTGCTAAGGACAATGGGTCAATCATTGTTTATGACTCTGCATATGCCATTTATATATCAGATGATAACCCTCGTTCAATCTTTGAAATTCCAGGAGCCAAAGAGGTAATTCTACAGTTGATCTTTCTCTTTATGGTTGTAGCATGTTTTATCAATTTCCTTTGTTTTATTCAGCCTCTTGTTGTACAATTTTCTGATTTAAATGAGTTCTAAAGTCTATCATAGAGCTTTTGTGTAATGTGTAAATTTCAATTTGCTATTGCAGGTTGCAATTGAGACCTCATCCTTTAGCAAGTATGCTGGGTTCACTGGAGTCCGTCTGGGTTGGACTGTGATTCCAAAACAGCTTTTATTTTCTGATGGATTTCCTGTTGCCAGGGACTTCAACCGAATTGTTTGCACTTGCTTTAATGGTGCATCTACTATCTCTCAAGCTGGTGGCTTGGCTTGTCTTTCGCCAGAAGGCCTTGGGGTTAGTGTGATACAGTTTCTTTGAGTGGTTGCCAATTCATTTAAGAAACCAGGAGATTAGAATTATAGGTTTTTTTTTTTGAAGGCCTGACAGGCATACAGCCCGTGTTGTGAGTTCTAGCCCTAACAGGTTTATGCATTTCGAAAACTTGCAGGCTATGCATGAGGTGATTGGTTTCTACAAAGAAAATACCGAAATCATCATGGATACCTTTACTTCACTTGGTTTTAATGTGTATGGAGGTAAGAATGCACCATACGTGTGGGTTCATTTCCCCGGCCGAAGCTCATGGGACGTGTTTAGCGAGATTCTCGAGAAAACCCACGTGGTTACCACACCTGGTAGTGGTTTTGGACCCGGTGGTGAAGGTTTCATCAGGGTCAGTGCCTTCGGCCACAGAGGGAATGTCTTAGAAGCCTGCAAAAGGTTCAAGCAGTTGTACAAGTGAATCAAGGTACCTGACTAGTTTTGCCTCCAATATAAACCGAAGATGAATGCCAAATGTTCTTGTATGATTAATGAAATTATTATCTTCCTTTTTGGCGATCTAGATTGCATTGAAACTGCCACAAAATTGTTAAAGAGCATTAGTAGTCTGGGATAATTTTCTAGTTAGGGTATTCGGAACTTTTGCAATTTGGTTTTAAATAAACGGGGCGAGAATATACAAGGTTTCGTCATATATGCAGGCTATATTTCCAAGGACCATATTGTGGCATTTCGAAAGTAACTTAAATTGATGTGTTTGATTTGATTGGTAATACTGTGGAAAGTTGAATGGTGAGTTACAAATAATTATGCACATTAAGATAATATGAATTCCATCAGAGTAAGAGTATAATTCATTAAATAAAATAGTAACACTTTGATCCTTACTGAGGGGTTGAAAGTGTTACTCTCAAATTGTATAGGAATTAAATTGTTTGTTTACAAGGACCAAAGTGTCATGCTGGAATTTTAGTAGGCCTAAGAGGATAATTTCCCCTTAAGATATCTCTTAACAACGATTTCCCCTCTCAGTCTAAGACCGTGGCAATTGTCTTCGTTCGGGTTTTGTTATCAAACTAATACAATTCGTTAAATTGAATTACGAAACCCTAATGGAGTATTGACAATATGGGGTAAATTGTTATTCCAGATAAGGGAGCAAAAGTATTTAACTCTTTTTGGTGTAATAATTATTTTAAAACCCGGACCGGTCCAACTGGGACCTGGCAGTCTCTATGGTCCAGTTCAGGTTTTTAGAGGTTTTTGCTATATTTTAAAATTATAGGGACTAACTAAAATTTTCTATGGGTATTTTTGAAGTATTTCAAAATTTAAGGGACTAATGAATTTTGGGAATTTTGAAATAAATTAATTTTTCAGGGACTTACTTTGCAATTTTAGGGGTATTTTTATAATATACTAAAATTGAAAGGACTAATTTACAGTTTTTTAAAAATATTTTTGTGGACTGGTTGACCCGTGACCCAATCACCTTGCCGAGTATCACAACGGGTCGGGTTTTAAAACAATGGGTGTAAGAGCATCTCCAAATGACTCTTTATATGACTCAAAATCTTTATTATAAAGAGTTTATCCATAAAAACAAGAGTCCAACAGACTTTTTATCTTTAAAATATAAATTAGAAAGTGAGTCTACCTCTCTATATTTAGAGAGTCAAATTTTACTCTCTATTATAATTTTAATTAATAAACTACAAGTTCTTATATATTTTATTTATTAATTCTCTCTTCCATTAAGTCTCTTTTTAAAAAATAAAGAGCATCTTAATTAAATTTAAAAAGTTTATTGGATTTGAATAAAAAATATATTTTTTATATTTTAAAATGAATGAAGATACTCTTTATTTATATAAAAGATGCTCTTCAAAATAAAGAACACTATTAGAGATGTTATTCAAAATCTTATACAGTGCAAAGATAAATGATATATATATATATAATTTGGAGAATAATTTATGTGGCAGCTTTTGCTAAAAACTTATGCCTATTTAAAGTGATTGAAAACAAGTTTCAGTGTAAAACTGCAAATTGGAAAGGAAATGGGAATCTGCAAGCCTAACAATGAAGTGCCTATTCCAACCCAGAAAATGTCCTATAAAACGCATGAGCAGGTATGTTGATGCCACCATATGTTTTTACGTAAGATTCTGACTTCTGTCTGGCGTCAATTTCTGCAGAAACAAGAGCCTGAGGATAATCTTTGTTACGGCAGTGACGTTGAGAGGGCTATATTTCCTCTGTGTGTCAAAGTTTATATAGGTGAGATTTCAGTCGTCTTGGTTTTAATTAATTTCTTCACTGTTGTGACTTTTTAATCACTGTCAAGTATGATCAGCTGAAAGTCTATAATTGGACAAGTGTTACTATTGTATTAGTTCCTTGCATCTTCGGTCATTCTCACATTATTATCACACCATTATTAATTCATTTACTTGATTGTTATCATATTTGTTCTGATAGCTTGATCATTTGAATTAATGGTTTAGCTCCTGGCGGAACCATAAGAAGAGCGTAAGAGATGATTATGAAGAGAATGGAGACTGCATGGTGGCTAGTTTTGCTGACATCCAGGGAGAAGAGAGAAAAAGGTACAGTTGAATCTCTCTCTTTATTTTTATCTTATTGGAAGATTAACTAGTTTGACCATTTCCAAAGAATTTTTTGGGTCACTTTTACTTCTATAAGAATGCCTGAAAATTACCAAATGACAGATTTTGCTCAAAGTGTTAAAGAGGAAGAATATAAAAACACAGAAGTACAATCAGATTAATACATGACATGAAGCCTCTTTGAATGTGTTATTTTCTGGGAATTTTTTTGACAGTCTTTTTCAAAAGAATCTACAATCTTAACCTGAGTAACCCAAACTGGTGTTTCGACTATATTTATTTGTTTATTATATGGAACAGTGCAAAGATTGGGAGGAATGAGGATAGAATAGAGCAGCTGCGCAATGAGCAAGAGGAGAGGAAGGAGAAATTGAGAAGACAATCAAAGAAGCACAAGTTACTCCATAACTGAGACTCATTTTTGATTGATTGCATCGTATTCATCCATCTCCGAATTTTGTTATTTCTAAATCCTAATACAGTACGATTCATGTAAATAACATTGAGATTATCTCTAATGAAGAAACACCATTCTGTTTTGTTTTTGTGAATTAATGGCGCAAAGTGTGTTATATTGTAAAAAAGAGAGAGAATTTTATGTTACAGTTTGAATCGTTACGAAAGACATATGATTGTTTATTGAAATTGTTTTATATTTAAGACGTTTTATTGCCATTTTTCCGAATGTGCTTTTCATGCTATTATAATGAAGATGTGATGTTGTAGCTAGTTATATTTTTCGTTATTCCATGAAATGTTACATTTATTAGTCATATTGCCAATTGAAAACAGGCAAAAAATGCTTTGTTTTCACCTGGTATAGTTTTTTACGCCCCAAAAATGCATTATTGTTTTCACTTGGCGTGGTTTTCTACGTGATTAGTGTAAAAATATTTATCCTCTAGCGTAAATTTTATGCACCTAACTTGATTTTTTACGTTAACTTGGAATCTTTATATGAAATTTCCTAATTGGTGTGATTTTTCACGCCAATTGAAAAAACCATGAGTGTTGAAGAATTGCTATAAAACTTCAAATTCAACACATACATAACAGATACACTTCTATTAACATCAAACACAATAACACTCACACTACGAACAACCCAAAAACCAATAACTTCAACAAAAATCAACCTAAACCCTAACTTTTTTTACAAAAACCCTAAAACCTAACATTTATCACAAACCAGACCTTTTTGACACTAAAATTTGTATAAAGAAGTATTGAAAATCTGAAAAACTAACATTTACCCATCTCACAATTTTTTATTCACTCCAATGACGGGAATAGGTTGTCGTTGATCACGTTTCTTCTCCACACCACAATGAGTGCTGAAAATCTTCAAAGTAACGATTAAATGGTTAAATCTCCACTTGTTTTGTGGATTAAATTACAAAACGGATGAGTTTTTAAAAATCGAAGTTGGCTCCAAAGCCCTTTTTGTTTTTTGAAATGGTGGTAAATGGAGGAAAATTGGGTTTATATATGAGGGTATTTTGGTAAAATGCATTTGGTGGTTATATGGGTATAGACTTTAGGATTTTAGTCAATTTTTATAAGCCCCCCATGTCATTTAAAAAAAAAAAAAAAACCTTTTTTGAATATAATATAATTACATAATAGTTGTTTTTCTAACTAAAAATTTATTTATAAATATGATAAGCCTATTTATATAAATTTAACAAAAATTAAAAGAAAAAAACTTTCCTCCAATTGTAGGATCATTGCGTACATCCATATGTTCTACCTACACGAGATTAGAACATATGGATCTACACAATCATCAAACTCTCATTAGAAAAAGATGTTTATATTGGCCATAGGAGACGGTCAAACCACCCCCATGGAAATGATGTGTTGCTATATCCATCCACAAAACTAAAGTTCATGACACTTACACCCTTAGAAGTGGCGAAAATGAAACTTACTTTGCACCAACTAAGTTTGGAAATATAACTTACACTGTTACCCTCTATTTTTCCGATTAATGGGATGAAGTAAAGGGCAAAATATACATTTCAAGTTAAATTTATTGTTGATTAAATTGATAAGTAAGTAGACATTTCAAGCTTAAAAAAAAAAAAAATTGAAGGATTGGTGAGATATTAACCACTAAAGCCAAAGGCATTTAGTATAAGTATATTACATAACAGAAATTTAATCATTATGAAAAAAATGGGGTTATTATTTACAATTTCGCAAAGAGGTAGTGAAATATAAATACTCCCTTGGACATCTCACAAATTTTAAAAAGTAAAATAATAACCTCTTGGATTATTATTTACTCCTCTTAAAACTATCAAAAACTTTCCTATCAAGGGGGTACTTAATACGTTATAATAATCATGGGTGTGTCAAGAATATTACTATCTCTCTAGGGGTGTATAATAATCGTAAAAAAATATATTAAATTTAAGGATAAGTAATATAAAGCCCCACATGTTTGGCCATTTAGTAGATGTCACTTGCCACCACCCACAGTCTCCATTCCATTAATTTCATCAGTTAACTTTAATGGGTG